TACTTTGCCCAACGCCAAACCTCTATTGCCATTCGGAAGAGGTGCAAAGTCAGCAATTCAGCTCCAAAGATCTAAAAGTAACAAGGCTGCATGATGATGGGTGTCATTGCACTTCGTACCCACCATCTTTGTTTGCCAAACGTCTTCGTCTCAGCACTGCTTTGCCTCATAGTGATGCTTCACCTTGTGCCTAGGACAGCCACTCTATTGCCCTCTTTGCAAGGTTTTTCAAAGTTCAGGAAGCCAAACATTAGCGGCAGGAGAGCTTAGGAAAGCTTAGCTAATTGGTAGGTGCAACATTTGGCGGGAACACAGCATCCTTAATAACATCAGTTTCACTAAACATTGCTTAACCAAGATCACCAATGGTGGCATGAGGATGTATGAGGATGATGCTGGGTTCGTTGTTACCCCCTATACTCCACGTGCGTATTTATAAACATAATATAAGATAATAAATATAAAAAAATAAAAAAAATACATATGATATAATAATAATAACAATAAAAACAATAATAATAGCGATAATAACAATAACAAGAACAACAACAATAATAATAATAAAAATAAAAATGATAATAATAATAATAATTACATATATACATATATACATATATGCACATCATATACACTATTGTATGTGCCTGTATGTGCGCACTTGTAACATATACGTCCGCCAAATGGCCCATCTCAGCCCCAATTGCCATGGCCCTCTGCGCTCCAGGAGATGCTAAGGCGCCAGCAGCTTCAAACCGTGCTGGGAAAGCCTGCTTTTGACGTTGTGAACCGTGCTGGTTCCCGAGATTTGATGCGAAGAACGTGGTCCTCTTTCCACATAACCTATATATGTATATAGCCACTAGTTGGTGCTTGACCCACAAATCATTGCATGTAATTAAGACATGAAACAAGATATGACATACTTTTTTTTAAATATCTGTGATTTATGTGTCTGAGAATGATGAAGCATATCGTTTGAAACTGCCACTCAAATTCTATCTTAGTCACACCATTTCAGTGATTGGCCGAACCTTCGTGGCAGTTGATCAGTCCATCCTTTCCCACATCTTCGGTCCACGCCTTTAATATAAATACATTTGAGATTTAAGACACTTATACATTGTCACCCAATTGCGTGGATATATATATAATTAGATATTTACTTGCGCATTTACTCTTAGTAATATATATATTGATATGTATTTACTAATTTACTTCTATTCATCTCTCTCTCTCTCTTTATATATATATACACGCATTTATTTACTTGTATTTACCAATATATATATATAACTTGTGCATTTACTCCTGTATGTATATAAATATATATATATATACAGTGTATATATATATATATATCTCTGTGTGTTTACTTATTATTTATCTGTGTATATATATATATATATATCTATACGCATTTGTTTACTTATGTTTATCTGTATCTGTATATTGTATACATGATATGATTATGTGTTTATTTATCTGTTTGTTGATTTATTTACTGTATTTGTTAGTTTACTTACTTAATCTATTTATTTGTTCATTATGACACACATCCAGTACCTATCTGTATCTCATACCTTTGCTTTCCTTGATGGACATATCATGCCCAGCCCTTCCAACCTTGGCCGCGAAGGCCATAAAAAAAGGCCTGGTGGCCGTTCAGCCGCGCTGCATCTCCGGTGAAAATCAAGGTTCCACCATGGATATCAAAGGATACTAATGGATGGTCGTGGACAAAACTATGGAGACGTATTGTTGCTGACTTCATCCATATTCATCCGCGAAAATCATAGATAGGCAGTTTTTGCCAAAACGATCATATGTTGAAGCAGAGGAGTGATTTTCATGAATTTTCCCTTTCGGAACTAATCTGCATCTTCGTATTCATTGGACATGGCTGGCTTCGACTAGAAACTTTAGCAAATGAGCTTCAGGGTCGTACGGACATGCTTGACCATCCTGGCGTTGGCATTATTCTTGGGTTTGAGGAGAACTACATGACCCCGCAAATGAAAGTTGCACCCGTGTATGTGTGTCATGTGCCGGTCAATTCCAAGCTTGTTGGTTGCATGCTTTGACATTTGGGGCTATACACGTGTTTCCCAGACTGCACATCTCTTGGCACTTTCGCAAAAATGCTGAACAGCGTGCTCCTGAGGCTTCGTTGCCTGGAATTCCAAGTAGCATCCCAGGCAAAAGACAGGGCTCTATGAGATGTTCTATGGTAGGGGACCCCAAAAAACATCCAGTGGTTTATCATAATTTTCCCATTTTTCTCAAATGAGGTTGCTATTGGGGGGGTATCCACTTTTCAAATACAGCATGCCTCCACTTCTGGCGGCTAGCGCACGGCGGACACGCAGGAACTTGCTCCTGGTGGCAGGTGATTGTCAGCCTTCTCACAGGCGATCCCCAGAACATCCACATGACATGGGCATATCCATACTTATCTGGTTGGTGGTTTTAACCATCTTGAAAAATATTAGTCAGTTGGGATGATTATTCCCATGTACTATGGAAAGTAAAACATGTTTGAAACCACCAACCAGTTATATCCATGTGGCATTAGCATGTGAATATCCATATAACTCATTTCACCCAGATTTTCTGCTGGGATCATTATTACTATGACAGGCAAAATGAGTCATTTGGCTCTCAGGGATGGAGATGGACCAAATGTAGGACATGACCTGGCGCGATTAACAAAACTGGCATATCAAACGATATGCTTCTCTTACTTGGTGCAATCTACGTATATAGTGTGTGTATGTGAAGCACCAGCAAATAGGGAAAAAACAAAAGGACACAATGGCTTCAACGCATGCTGAATATACAATGAACATATCATGTGAGTATTACAGTAATATTGTTTTTTCTATATATATATATACTGGGTTGGATACCCAGTCTGACACGGGTTAATGATGCACAATTACACACACATCGTCTAAATATATATATGATATATGTAACATATGTATGTATAACTATGTCCTCTGACAGTCTGATAATTGACAAATGATCATCTTTCCCAACTTCCAAACAGGATGATCTGCCCTGGTCGCTCCTTGTCTTCCATCGGATCATGGAACAGGAGGATCATGCCCAGCCGAAACACAGGACAACAAAAACGGATAAGTAACCTAAATAACAAATGGTGCTTATGAGCAAAGATCATGACTTTTTCGCCTGATTTACAGTAACCCGGGAGATTTTGGCAGGTTGACCTACTATACAAACAAGTGGAAAAATAAACCCACCAATCTAGGTGTAATGACCAGAGGTGGTGCAACTCAGTGAAGCTGAGCCGAGCAGCTGATTCAAAAATGGCTGATGAGGTTTGCCCACCCTGATCAGGTTGACTGAAGCTGTATGCAACACTTTCACTCTGTCTCTGAGCCTCTCACCTACCTGGGCGATTGAAATTTGACATTGCCGGAAAAGCAAGGGGAACCACATGCAAAGGGAAAAAGATGTATCCCAACCGTTGGTCCCAACCCTTCACACAATCTGCGAATCGGATGGAAACGACTTGATATCTCTGGAACCGTTTGTGGCAGGACGAAAACCCCCGAAAGATGGGGGCATCAACGCCCGAGACATCATTGATCATCTTCATAGCCCATCTATCAGAATATGTGAAAATATGGACTATATTGACTAATACCCTCTGGTAAACTAACATAGCTATTGAACATGGCCATTTAGTTGATTTACCCATTAAGAATGGTGATTTTCCATAGTTATGTTAGTTTACCAGAGGGTAAGTCTCCACCAGGCCATAGGAAGATGGCTCATGCCATAGCCAAAAGTTGCTCGGCGGCTGAGGTGGCTGCCCCGATGGCAAACTGAATCCCCGAATCGATCAGGGCTTTGGAACAGTATATGATGATTGGTTGGTTATATATACACGTATAAATAAACTATAATCTATAATTTATATGTAATTATATATATATACATATCTCATCAATTAGATGTTCATTATATACATTCCATTAAATCACCAGAATTTTTGGTTAATCGGTTATTACATAACCTGCCCTCATGCATTTTTCCGGCGGACGGGAAGACGGCGGGCCGAGGGCTTGGGTACTTTGACCGCTGTCGCAGATTTTGTGCAGATTTCAAGCCCCAAAATCACCAGGTGTTTTTCCGCATTACCTAGACGGTGAGTACTGTACAGTTGTTGTCTTGTGTCCATTTAGAGGTAACAAAAAACCAAATTGTCACCACATATAGGCTATATACAAATATGTATGTATAAATTTGTATGTGTATATGTACTGTGTGTATACATATGTATATATATATATATGCGTGTATATGCATATGCATGCACATGTGAAAAGCACATGCTGATCTGTAACAGAATACTTCGGCATCTGTGTGACATATTTTGTCGATATTTTGACTCTCACGTTTCCTACTGGTTGGCAAAAATACATACAGCTCCAGCAGTTCCACGGGGGATTTCACTGAAAACTACAGTATGTCTTCCTGGCCGCTGGGGGCTTGTGTTGACATCTTGATACAATACAAGTCATAACTAAAACGTGTGCATGATTGTGGCAGCTTGGCCGTGGTGTGCTGTGCAACCCACGGCAACCAAGAGTTTCTTCTGCAGTAATCAAAACATGCTTGTGTTGGAAGCCGTCGCAAATAATTGTTAATTAACTCTTGTGCGAACCCTGCAATCACAAGCTCGATGTCTTGATGTTTATTGTCTCCAATAAGTGTACATAGCCCTTCAATGGCCGTAAGCAATCCTGTGACACTGGGACTGATGTGGGTTAGAGGTTGCGAAACCCAGTGTTACAGAGATCATAGTGATACTGGTCCCTGGTTGCGGGGTCTTTACTGTACCTCTCTACCTTTCTGTCCCGTAGTATCGGTGCACTGTTTAGCTTTCTTGCAACAACTTCGGAAGAGAGTTTCCAAATGCAAGCAACCACTTCATAAGAACATGTTATTTCAAGCATCTTCAAACGCCATTCATCCAAAAGCTACGACGGCTTCTGTCACAGTCATGCACCGCTGCTTGGGCTGTACGCGTTCAGCCTACCCGCATCATCCAACATCTACAGTGATTCATCGCATGGTTTCCCCCACATTTTCAAACAAGCCCACATGATGTTCACATGCAACCCGTCGCCCCAGGGCGGCTACCCGGACTTTCCGGGCGCTTCCCGGAAGTGCACCAACTTCTGTGTCTTCTGTGCCAACTTGGCGCTATTCTTCCATAGTCCATTGGCTTGGCAAAAGGCTTCCCAATAGGCCAACTCCTGAGGAGCTGGGTCATGGATGTCGGTGGTACAGATAAATTTTGATAAGATTGGATCCAAATAGATAAGACATGATACTAGAGTAGATTGGCTGACAAGAATACAATAGATTGATATTTTAAGACCACCACAAACCTGCGCGAACTATTGAGCAGATGTTAAGAGCGCTAACTATTGAGAAGATGTTAAGAGATCATTTATGGATATCGTATGTCTTCGGAGTCTATGGCTTCTGGATATTTTATGAAATTCCAACCTCCTGGCCGAAGTGCTTTTCAGAGCCAGATGAGCTTCACAGAGCACAGAATATCCCTTCTCCCCAGAAATCATATTTCCATATCATGACCAAAAAGCAGCTTTCTTGCAGGTCCATAGGATCTCATAGGTCTTTGCTCCTGTTTTCCCATGAATTCTCAACCGCTGCCAAGACGCATTGCCCCGGTAGAAGGCATACACCAACTCAAGGCCAGCCATGGAAACGATCAGCAGAAGAAACCTGGCATTTTTGGGTGGCCACCCTGAAACATTGGATATGATGAGAAAATGGTTGTGTAGGGCAGCTTGAAGAAAAAAGTGAAGATGTATCATGTCTCAATAGGATACGACTCATATGACCCATGAGATTTAGATAGATATAATATGATACGAGTATAATCCAGGCACTTGGGGAAAATGGCCAAATAGCATGAGAAAAACCATGCCGGGCAAAAGAGGTTTGGCAAACCGAACCTCCACCATCGGTACCAAGATGTACCGAATCAGAGCAATCAGCCAACTGGAAAATCACATTTATTGAGTTGGTAAATCATGGTAACTCATGGTAGTAAATCATGGTAAATTATCATCATCATCATCATCATTCCCATATATTCTTATCATCTATTTCTATGGGCCATGGCTTCCCTATGCTCAATGACCAGAGAGCATTTTGTGGGCATCCCGATTTTGCAAACAACAGCAGGCACCATGGACCATGGCTGAAGATTTTCCCATGAAATCCACCAATAGCAATGGGTGATTCAATGCTACCGCTACTGAATCCACAGAATCATACAGAATCCACATTATCACATGCTATGATACAATATCAAGGTATCTGAATGTATCCTATTATTTCAGATCATGACCTATCTACCATTCCTTAATTTCTTTATTTGGGTGCAACTCTTATGGTAACGTATCGACCATCACCATGGATGATTCTTCGACCATAGCAAGGCGCGAGAAGGCCACCCTCATAACACCACGCTGCGGTAGCATCAAAAGGCCTGCGGGCAGCGACCAAGGCCAACATGAAAAACGCACGCTGAGCGTGTCTGGTGCATTTGTGCTGGACCATATGGACCGTATGGATGCAATTGTATGTATATGATCTGTATATATGCAATCATATGTATACATTACACTACATTACATTACATTACATTACATTACACTACATTACACTACATTACATTACATTACATTACATGATATTACATTTTCATTACATTACATTACATTACATTTACACACACACGCACACGTATATATATATATATAAAAATACATAAACTATATATGTCCATATATTATACATTTTCCGTCCGTTTATGGTTACCGACGATGCAAGGCAAGCACCAGCCGCAGCCTGCCTAGGCCGCCACACATCATCAAGAACTGCTGCCTCCAAAGGATCGGGCTGAACCAAATGGTGAGAGTCATAGCCTCATCCAAGGAATCCAAGGACGCCGACGAGTATTGCAGGATCCAGCATTTTAAGAAAGCCCAATATTAGTGAAGAGTGCAATTCATTGGTTTTGGTTTGGATGGACGGACCTACAGTATATAATCGTACACACATGTAAACATGTTGAAACGTGATCAAATGATATCAAATGTTGATTGTTTTAATCATAAATAGTAGATGCACATCCTGTACCGTTGGTCGAGCCCTGACAATCACTAGTAGTGACAGTGGCACATGTCACATTCCAGTTTAAATTGAAACCAATGACAAAGCAACCCATTGATGGCACACATTGGTACACTGATTGCTGGTAGAATAATTTTTGAAGAGAATTGGTTAAGAAATCGCAAGTCCTCATCCGATTTGTTGGGACGGACACGTGACATCCTTGAACAACCAACCAGTACTACGTAGTAGACTGCGATCAAGGGGTCCCAACCCTCCTGGCTGAAGTCACACCGTGTAATCGGGTGTATGAAGAAGAACATGGCATTCGACTGCTAGAGTCTTGGCCCAACCTGGTTGTGAATTCCTCTACGCAGTGCTGGCCTGTAGCTGCTGTACCTTTGGTCAATGTACCCCAGCTGGAAGCAAACTGAAGCCCTGAAAAATCATCTTAAACATCTTCTCAGCTAGTGGCTAGCAACACATGCCGCAAGAACCAGGCATGGTCAGTCAAACCTGCAAAACCTGTGCCTCACCAGCTCCCTTCCCGATGCAGCCCAGCGGCTCCAATCATTGCGATGTTGCCCAAGCTGTGCTTCCATTGTCCAGTCAAACAACTCAAGATGAGGTTGCCTGACAAACCGACTGGATTTCAGGAGTGGTGGTACCAGTTGCAACTTTGTTCTCTTGCATCTTTCTGACTAATGTTCCATCTGGGATGTTCCTGGATTAATCATGCTAGAATTCACATTTCCCACAAAACATGACCAAAATAGCCTTCACACATCTTCACACCTTCCGTATCTACCCTCGCTGCCCCGGAGCTTACAACCTGCGGAACAGTGTGCCTGTGAGAAAGCCAATGTTGGCTCCTGCCCCAATAAATCCTGGCAGCTCGAGCTTCCGGAACCAAAAATCAGTTCTGAAAAATGGGGGATTTTCACAGCTGTCACGATTCACAATGTACCCTCTGGTAATTTAACGTAGCTATTGAAAATGACCATTTATAGTGAGTTTTCCCATTAAAAATGGTGATTTTCCATAGTTATGTTAGTTTACCAGAGGGTATGTTGGATGTTCCAAACAAGCTTATCTTCATTATATTTTCCACTTGACGAGCTCAAGGGCATCCAATGGCCGATCCAATGGCATCATGAGGATTGTGGTGATGCTGATATGATCCCCTCAAGAGCAACCCATAGCACTTGGGCATTAAGTAGTTCGTTAAGTTTATCACATTTATTGAGTGATTAGTTTGTTAATTCATTTAAGGACTGTGCTGGTTGGTGGTTTCAACCCCTCTGAAACATATTATATAGTCAGTTGGGATGATTATCCCCAATATATGGGGAAAAAATGTTCCAAACCAACAACCAGGTAATATGATGATTTTCAGGGGTTACCCAGGAAATCTTCACGAAATCTGACCCCCAAATCCCATCGCCTGTGCATCCTTGGGACATCAAGTGCGACAAGATGGCGCCGACCAAGGAGGCAGTGAGAATCACACCTGCTGCGTTTTTTTTTGTGGCCACGTTGCCAGCATGTGCCATGATATACCTTTATAATGTCTATGTGTATATATATAATATGTATATATAAATGATTATAGATGTCGTTTAAAATATGTATGTAAAATATAACTGCACATATATTGGCACTTTTATTTATTGCCAATCTGGGCACCTTTTGCAAGTTATAATTCAGTAGGACTCCAGTCTATCGAACTAAATTCATGCCCAGAGATGCTTCTACAAGTACTTATCTCCTTGCCGGAAAGACAGAGGTCAGTGGAAAACCCAAGTCTTGCTGGTCTTTGCATAAAGATTTTGAAAATCAAATTATAGTTGTGATGCAAATATGGAACCTCATTTCGAACGAATTCCTCTTCCTAGACTTTGGTGACAGCACAATTTGCTGAAGCAGGCACTGGTGTCGGATTTACATGGTGGCATTCAAAGCCAAAACAACCACATCACATGATGTTTCGCTCTTTCATGCATTTTGGATATGGAAACCAATCTGCCTGATATGTGTACTATGTGAGCCACGAACATGGTATAAAGTGATCTGGACCAGTAATGATTGCACGCCGAGTTGAAAAATGAGGCGTCTAAGGATCTTGTCAACGGGTTTGTTTCAATTTTTGTGAATTTAATTATTGAAACTTGTGTTTCAATGTTGTTTGATTCAGTTGTGCAATCAAAGTGCCCTCCCAAATAATAGGTTGTTCAGGTTCATCATGCTTAGTGATGGTTCAGATTCATTAACTACCTTCCAAATAATAGATGGTTTAACTAACCCATATTAAACTAACCATTAGTTGATAGCTAACATTGGTCAATTAACCTTTCATAAAGCCCATGATTTCGGGCGTCCAGGGTCCCCAGAGGCCCACGCCTCTACCCATGCACTGCGCCTTGGTACAAACAGCCCGTGGCGATGGGCGATATGATCACTGGATGACTGGCGAAATCTGGTGAAATTATAAGTAGATCTATGAGGATAAAAATGATATTTAAATTGAACACGCACTTATATATATATATATCATTATATATATATATCATTATATATATATCAAATGTAAATAAACATCAATATAACTATTTGTTGAGGACACTTACCCTTCTCCCCAGCATTTTCATTTTCTTTTGTCCACCATTTGCCGGTACCTCGTGGAGCTCGTGTCCCGTCGTTTCTTTCTCCGAGATGCAAAGGGAGTCACGAAGAAGTTTCCGTGGAAGGTGGCCAAAAGGTTCACCTAATATCGCCGACCGGCAACGTTTCACGTTGCTCCGTCTGGCCCAAGCTTCGAAGATTTACCAAGCTGAACAAAATGCCCCATTCTGGGAAACTGTGAAATTATCAGAGGGTATTTGAAGATACTAAGTTGGTTTATGACTAAGGTAACTGTGTATGGTAGATATATCAAACTAGTTAGTGGGGCTATAAACCAACCTATATATCCTATTGATTGGTGGTTTTGACCCCTGCAAAATCTGCGAAAGTCACTTGCGATAATCCTCCCATTTCTGTTGTTGAAAAAAACATGTTTGACACCGCCAACCAAATATACAATTATTTGTGATACATAGCCATGCGCTGCATGTATGGAGTGTTTAACAACATGTCACAAACAAACATGACACCAAATGACCAAATGTAACTAAATATAGCGTACCGGGCGATATTTGGACTGCAACATGCTGCATAGATTCAAAGAGGCAGCTTGGGAGCACTCTCCGTGAAGCCATGATCCTGCGAGGTGGTGCCCAGTCACTTTGAAGGTGAAGAACAGCAGCACCACCACACCCATCCCGGACAGGGCGGCCAAGCCAACCCTGAGAAAACATGAGACGACCACAGGCCATGTGTCAAAGGTTTCGCCTGTGTTGTTCTACCAGTTGCAATTTTACAAAAATCTCATATAATATAACCATTTAGATGATAAATGAAATATATGTCAATATAATTCAATATGTTGTTATATTTGTTCTTCTGGTCTTTCTTTGCCCGTGGGAAATTAAGTAGCATTGTCTCTAAGACAGTTCTAAGCCCACTTGCCTGGTTGCTCGTATCTTGCATCCTCATCTTTAGTTTTTTGGTTGCTTCCTGATTTTGGCTACATAAATCTAAAAGGGTGTTGCTGGACAAAATCTCCAGATTTGGGGTTCCCATAGGCTTAACCCATCATCCCCTTAGTCTGACGAGTATCTGATTGAAGTCGCGGGCCCGAAAGAACTCGATGAGGGCGTTCACAGCAGCTGAGCCGAAGCAAAAGATGGCCTCGGGATGATGAATGGCATCATATGACATATTTACACAAATGTACACAAATAAAGAATCATCCCGGCAAGACACCCCAAACAGTGTGGGGGGGGTGGGAGGATAATGTATGATAATGCTGATGCTGATGATGATGATGATGATGATTATGATGATGATGATGATGATGAATATGATGATGATGATGATGATGATGATGATGGTGATGATGATGATGATTATTACTATCATTACTATTATTATCATCATTATTACTAGTATTAAGATGATGATTATGATTATGATATATTATGATTATTATAATTAGTATTAGTATGATGATTATGATTATTATTACAAAAATAATTATTGTTAATATTGTGAAATTAATAGTAATATTAAAAAATGAAAATAATAATAAAAATAAAAATAATAATCTATAATAATAGTAAAATAATAATAATTATTCTTATTATTATTATTAGTATAATGATGATGACTGATAACGATGACAATCATGATGATGATAATGATGATGATGATGATGAATATGATGATGATGATGATGATAATGATGATGATGATGATAATGATGATGATAGTGATGATGATGGATGATGCTGTGATGCTGTTGAGGATGATATGTGTTGAGGAGGATGGGGATGAGGAGGATGAGCATGATCAGCCCAGAACCTAGGACCACACTTTGTGCGATCCTGCGCAGTCGAAATGCGCGTCAACATGTCACAAGAGCCACTTTCTACGGAAATTTACAAGAAAATGCTGCGGCCCAGAACCTAGGACCACACTTTACTTGTGCCAGCCTGCGCAGTCGAAATGCATGTCAACACTTCACAAGAGCCACTTACTCAAAATTTAGTCTCAGTCTCAATGTACCCAAACATGCTTGAATCATTTCTCTCTCCTTAGCATTATACCACCCCAAACATAACTCAAACTCAACTCAAATTCAACCCAATTTCAACTCAAAACAACTTCAACCCGAAAAATGCGATCAAAGTTTTTTTCTGTTTGAACTTCCCTTCAAAACACCCTCGATTTCTCAAAATCTACTTGATTGCATTTTTGCATTTCCCTCAAACCACCCTCGATTTCTCAAAATCTACTCGATTGCATTTTTTGCTAAAAAATCATCACACGGAAAATTCCTCAAAATCAACTCAAAATTGTTTTGTTGATAATCGGGTGATCCATCGCTCAAAATGACCTCAAAATCTACTCGCCGCGCGCTCAACGTTTGTGGGCGTCGTTTTGCTACCCCCCCAAGTGGCGCCCTATGACACTTTATACGTAAAAGTTGCAGGAAAAATTCCGTGCCCCAACTTGAGCCCAGAACGCGGACAGTCACTTTGTGCGAGCCTGCGCGGTCGAAATGCATATCAACATTTCGCAAGAGCCACTTTGTACAGAAATTTACAAGAAAAATGCCGCGGCCCAGAACCTAGGACCACACTTTGTGCGAGCCTGCGCAATCGGAATGCACTTTGTGCGAGCCTGCGCAATCGGAATGCACTTGGAGATTTCACAAGAGCCACAGGAAAATGCCGCGGCCCAGCTGGAGCACCTTGATCAAGCACCGGCCTTTACAGCTACCGTAAGAACCCCTCAGTGTGGACACACAGTTTGGCGAAATACACATAAATAAATAAAATTGAATAAATAAATAAACAAATAAATATGTTACATATATTTATATATTTGTCATAAGCACTATTTACAGACACTTACATGCAAATCTTTGTGTGTCGAATTTCCGGCGGGTACAGGAAGGCACACTGCAATGTGGAAAGCCCACTGGGGGTCACATGCCAAAGAACCGGTTTCTAGTCACAAACAATAATGTTCGATTGGGATTGTCATCACATTCCTGGCTCGTAAATGCGTGGGTGCCCAGCTATCGGATGACGAGATTGCCAAGAAATGTATAATTATTGGCGATTAACCTGGGGTAAACCAACATAGATGTGGAAAATGACCTATTTATTTATAGATGATTTACGTATAGAAAATGGTGATGTTCCGCCATCTATGTTAGTTTACAAGAGGGTAATGCCCCAATAATTCCCACTTCTTGAAATTCCCACTCAAGCCCCTCACAGACTGTTTGTGGAACATAGCAAGTGTAGTCTCACGACACGGTTGGTGTCCAAGGCCAAGGTAGCTACAATCGCATGCCCCTTTGCTCAAGGCGTTCTGCGAAGTTGTAACTTAACTACCAACAAAAACTGTACAACCCAGCAACACATCAAACCCAAGGCCTGAAATTCCGGGACTTGCTTGAGCGCTGTAGATAGAGAGAACAGCTTAAAGAAGTAGAGGAAAAATGAGGAAAAGATAGGAAAAGAACAATCATACAATAACAGTGAATTGGTGTGCCTGTTTTGTGCCGTTCAAGTGGAAAAATGGAAATCTAGGGAAAACTATCACCACCGTGGGCAATCACCAGCATAAAAGCTTCTTGAATATCCATCGCATGTTTCTTATAGTCCATCTGAACGTAAGCCACTCCCCGCCAATGTATTCACAAGCGGTCAAACAGCAGGATACAAAAGCAAGTTAAGAGATCTTTCCTCCGAATATATGTCTGGACCATCTATTTTTTGGCTGATTTCCAGTCAATGATAGGTTGAACCAACCGCAACATTCCAACTTTTTATCCATCGAATACCTTGCATCCGCAGAAGGTGCAACCAATTTTGGAAACAAATATGACCATATGCCAGAAAGTAACACTTGTAATTGGATGTCATTCCAGTTGCCCAGAAAAACACAACCATCTACGTAAGTTCATTGGGGGTTCAGCATGCTACAACCCGCTCTTGTAGATCTCATCTTGTCTTTGTCCATAATGACATTTCAGGCCAGGGTCGACTGCTTGGGGGTCACTTACAAGATGACCTCCGCCTGCACGACTACACTATACGACCGACGCTGACCTGTTGATGTATCACTCAAACTCATATGGTGCTACTCAAAAAAGGTGTGGCTATGTATAACATGTATCTGGTTCAAAGTCTAGGATAACCAGCTAGATAGAGCTGAACTCATTGTTCGAAAGTATGACATCATCCGTCTACCAGAACCTTGTATTCGAAGAAGAGAAGAACCCAGGGAATTGTGGCATAACGGCAAGCCCAATCCGGTGTCATTTGACCACAGCCAGCAGGACAACCAAAATGAGTATCAAACAGCACTGAGCTTGTAGTTTCCTTTAGCACCTTAATATCGTTACATTATTTGGATGCGTTTTTACGTGTAAAATCCTTAATTGGCCAGCAGGAAAGGACATCAAAAGGCTCGGCCATGAACAAAACCTCTGCAGGAGGGCCAGGTCCAGCGTGAAATCAAGGTTTGGAGCACTTTTGGAAGTTGCGATGCTCAGATTGTGCCGTCTTGAACCAGCACATCCAACCGCACACCAGGCCCTTTCCCTCAGCTTTGAACTATAAAGCATGGCATAGCGAAAATGCCATGCCGGCAGCCACTGGAACATGCTTTCTTTGTCACTTTCAATCTTCACTGCATATGGCCATCTTACACATGTCTTTCTCGTTGACACGTGTCAAACATACGTTTTCACTAATCTTTGATCATTCCATTGGCCGCGCTATCATTCACTCATCGGCAAACAGCAAGGAGAGCAGCAAGCAGATCCACTTTTGGAGGCCCACAAGAACGCCACACAAGATGGTCACTCCAATCACCTCAAGCGATCGAAATCGCATCGAACACAAACAGGCGATCAACTCGTGGGCAATGATACACTACAAAATAGAAGATCACGAAAATCACCAATGCATAATAATACATAGATCACCGATACACACAAATATATATAATTATATGTATACATATTCATTTACCAGTAGTACCGCACAAGGCGGTGGCGGAAGTTTCAAAAATAGGAAACCTATAGGAGAGGTTCGTTGTTGTGAATCAGGGATGGCAGAGCGAAGCCACTCGTGGATCGAAAGGTGATTGAGTGTTTCTGCCTATCTATCTATCGATCGATCTATCTATCTATCTGTC